GAAGAATGCTGAAAGTACCATGGACTGCTAAAAGAACTAACAGATCTGTCCTGGAGGAGGTGTACCCAAAATGCTCCTTGGAAGTGAGAATGGCCAGACTTCATCTCACCTATTTTGGTCATGTTGTAAGGAGGGACCGTTCCCTGGAGAAGGATGTCATGCTTGGTAGGGTGGAGGGTCAACGAAAGAGGGGGAGGCCTTCAACAAGATAGATTGACACAGTGGCTACAATGATGGGCTCAAGTAAAGCAGGGATTGTGGGGCTGGCGCGGGATCAGGCAGTGTTTCGTTCTGCTGTGATGGGGTTGCTATGAGTTGGAAATGACTCGTCGGCACTTAGCAAGAACAACAACAACAACAACATATAATATACACATAATGTGTATATATATATACTACAGTGTGTGTATGTATATATACATATAGATATGTATATATACATACACACATATGGAGAATGGAAAATAAATTGTTTTTAGAAAGCACTTTTAAAATATACATAGCATGGGAAATCTCAGCATATTTTGGGGTACTTAGAATTTACTTCTCATCTTTTGAGTTTTCTGCATCAATTTGTATAAATTCATGCCTGAATTTTAATACCAGTCAAATGCCATGATGATTGCCAAAGTATTTCATAATCTTTAAATTGCTTTATAGAATGGTTTTAGTCTCCAATTATCACAAACTAACAATATCAACTCATAGTTTATTGAAAGTAAATGCTCATTCTTACATATTTTAATTTAATTAACTTCTGTCTTCTCTTAGTGCTTTGGGCTTCTAGGAGTGAATGGAGCTGGGAAAAGCACCACATTCAAAATGCTGAATGGTGACATTGCTCCAACATCAGGACATGCTGTTATCAGGACTCCCATGGGGTAAGTTCTAATTTCATTGTTTTTGCTGCCTAAAGAGACAATAATAAGCTCAGAATACTCTCAGCATTTCAGTAATCCTATGTATGAATTAAAGTCTGCAAATGCTATTTTCTTCCAGATTTGCTTTCTGATGTCTAATTTTCAGAAGAGGGAAAAGAGTTTCCAAATAAGAATGAAAAAGTTATCATTAGTGTAGGAGTTCTTTATATGTTCATCTGCAAACTAAAGCTTTCCTTGGTTTTACATGTATTCTTTTTCAAAAGTCCCTCGTATTTGAATTTTTCTCAAAAGGTTTGTATGGTGCAGGACTGGGCAGCATTTTATTCTATTGTACATTGGGATGCTGTGAGACTGAACTGACTCAATGGCACCTAACAACAACATATATATATGAGCTCTGGTAGCGTAGTGCCTAAGGCACTTGACTGCTAACCAGAAGGGTGGCGATTCAAACCCAGCAGCCACTCCTCGGAAGGAAGGTTGGGCAATCCTACTTCTGTAGTGATACTGCCTCGGAAACCCAAGGAGGGGTTGCTATGAGTCGTGGCCTACTCGACGGCAAATAACAACAGCAACAACATTATATAGCAGAAATACAATTTAATTTTTTTTTCTATCCAGATTTCCACTTTGCCTGAAATATGATTTTTTCAATAAAGTATCCCCTGCCCATTCAATGGAAGTGCCTTCCTTATTGTATATAAATTCTCAAATATGCTTGGCACTCTGCCTTCATACTTTTGTTTATACTGCATCTTAACACGTTGCATTGTCTGTATCATTTCTTAATTCTTCATTTTAAGAATTGTTTTCTCTATTTCTGGTCCCTTATTAAAGCATATTAATTTTAGAATCATTTTATAAAACTCCATGAAAAGATCACAATATTTGAATGTTAATTGGAATTGCAAAAAAATTTGTATGCTGATTTGACATCTTTATTATTTTTGTATGCCTTTTACTGGATATTTTTTCAGGCTATTTTATTGTATTTATTTGTTTCTGTAATTTATTTTATTTATTATTATTATTTTAAAAATTTTTATTGTGCTTTGGATGAAAATTTCCAGAGCATACAGAACAAATTTTTTCTTTCTTTCTTTCTTTTTTTTTTTTTTTTTTGTGCTTTGGGTGAAAGTTTACAGAGCAAATTCACTTTCCATACAGCAGTTCACAAACTTTGTCTCATGACATTGACTACAATTTACCCCAATGCAACAGCTCCCCACCCACTTCCTCTGCATAGTTACCTCTTCCCTGTGTCCATCCCTCCATGCACTACTGCCCCCTGAGCTGTCTCTCTGTGTATAAATAGCCCTTCTTTCTCCCATGATTGTTCTCTCCAAGGAGTGTATCAACTCATATGCCTGTCTTTTGTTTGGCTGAAAGCCGCAAGTGTGGGTTCAATTCCAGATCTGAAGGGCAGCTAGGGGCTATAGTCTCATTGGTTCCACCAGGCTCTATCAGACCAGAAAACCTGGTCCACCCCCCTTTTTTTTTTTTTTTTTCCAAATGATTTTGAGTTTTGTTCCACATTGTTCTCCCTCTCTATCAAGGATCTCCTACATAGATCCTCCTCTGAGTGGTTGACATTGGTAGCCGAGCACCATCGAGTTCTTCTGGTTTCATAGTCATATAGGCTGTGGATCACATGGTGTACCAGTTGCTTGGACTAATTGTTTCCTTTGGTTTTGTTTTCTTCATTCTTCTTTGCTCTTGACAAGGAGAGACCCAATATTGCATCTAGATGGCCACTTGTAAGCTTTTAAGATTCCAGTTGCTACTCGCCAAAGTAGGAAGTGGAAGAATGTTTTATGTAGTATATTATGCCAATTGAGCTTGATGTGGCCTGCAACTATGGTCCTGAGCCCCCAGATCCAACTACTTGCTCCCTGTGGGTAGCTGGCTGTGACCAAGAAATGATTACAACCTTGCCTTTTGTCAGCTCTACTGTATATCTGGGAATTCTTACAGAATATACAAATACACTTGTAGAAACATTGTCTGCCAACCCTAGACATGGTCTTGGGCTCACTCTCCCTTTTATTGTTGTTGTTGCTGTTATGTGCCGTCGAGTCTGACCCAACTCATAGCGACCCCTCCTTGAGTTTCTGAGGCAGTATCACTATGGAAGTAGATTGCCCATCTTCCTTCTGACAAGTGACTGGTGGATTTGAACTGTCAGCCTTCTGGTTAGCAGTCAAGTGCCTTAGGCATTATGCTACCAGAGCTCCTCTCCCTTTTATAGACATACCTAATAGTTCAGCCTGTCCAGCCATCTATCCACCCATATATCAATGTTTGCCTTCACTGACAACACAGTACTATTGTATGTGCAAAAGGATTCATCTTTGTTGTCTATACCTCCCATGAACCTCTCTATGGCTTCCTCTTCCTCAATGTCAGTGTTGATCACTCACATTTGGTATATTTGGTACATTGCCCTTCTTTTCATGCAAATCCATTCTTGTCTCTACTTATCAACAGTGTTCCCTCCCCTCCCCTCCCATCCCTGGTAACCAACAAAGAAAATTTCCTTCTATGTATAAACCTTTCTTTGACTTTTTACAATACTGGACTAAAGCAATATTTTCCTTCTGTGATTGATTTATTTCATACAGCGTAATGTCCTCCAAGTTCATCCATGTTATGTGGTGTTTTTCAGATTCTACATTATTCTTTAGGGTTGCATAGTATTCCATTGTGTGTACATACCATAGTTTGGATATCCATTCTTCTGTTGATGAGCACCTAGGATGTTTACATCATTTTGCTATTGTAAATAGTGCTGCAGTGAATATGGGTGTGCAAATTTCTGTTCTTGTCCTGGCTCTCACTTCTTTAGGATATATTCTTAGTAATTCAAAAATGGTTGCAGCAATATATTGACAGATAGCTTCCAGAAATTCTAGCTGGATTCAGAAGAGGATGTGGAGTAAGAGATATCATTGCTGATGTCAGATGGATCTTATCTGAAAGCAAAGAATACCAGAAAGATGTTTACTTATTTTTATTGACTATGTAAAAGCATTCAATTGTGTGGATCATAAGAAATTATGCATAACATTGAGAAGAATGGAAATTCCAGAACACTTGATTGAACTCCTGAGGAACCTGTACATAGATTAGGAGGCTGTCATTCAAACAGAACAAGGGGATAGTGCATGGTTCAAAATCAAGAAGGGAGTACATTAGGGTTGTATCCTTTCACCATACTTATTCAACTTGTATTCTGAGCAAATAATCTGAGAAGCTGGATTATATGAAGAAGAACGTGGCATCAGTTTTGGAGGAAGACTAATAAACAAACTGCGATACACTGTTGACACAATTTTGCTTGCTGAAAATGAGCATGACTTGAAGCTCTTACTGATGAAGACTAAAGACTACAGTCTGCAGCATGGATTATACCTTAATATAAAGAAAGCAAAAATCCTCACAACCGGTCAAATAAACAGCTTCATGGTAGATGGAGAAAAATTGTAAAGAATTTCATATTACTTTGTTCTACAATCAACACCAATGGAAGCAGTAGTCAAGACATCAGATCACATATTGCACTGGGCAAATCTGCTGAAAAAGGCCTCTTTCAAGTGATGAATAGCAAAGATGTCTCCTTGAAGACTAAGATGCACATAACCCAAGCCATGGTAGTTTCAATTGCTTCTTATGCATTTGAGAACTGGACAATAAATAAGGAAGACTGAAGAAGAGTTGTTTTTGAGTTGTGGTGTTGGAGAAGAATGCTGAAAGTACCATGGTCTGCTAAAAGGACTAACAAATCTATCCTGGAGAAGCGCAGCCAGAATGCTCCTTGGAAGTGAGAAAGGCCAGAATTCATCTCACCTGCTTTGTCTTACCTACTGGTCATGTTATCAGAAGGAATCATTTTCTGGAAAAGGATATCATGTTTGGGGAAGTGGAGGGTCAACAAAGAAGGGGAAAGCTCTCAATGAAATGGATAAACACAATGGCTACAATGATGGGCTCAAGTATAGCAAGGATTGTGAGGCTGACACAAGACTGGGCAGTGTTTCATTCTGCTGTGCATAGGGTCTCTACAAGTCGGAGATGACTCAACGGCACCTAACATCAACAACAACATGTTGTGTACAGAATACAATACTCTTATCAGTAATCAGTGAAACATTTTTTTCCCTATGTTAATAGTTTGATTCTAATTATCTTTATTGTCTACCTTAGAATTATCAAAGCAACATTTAATGATAATAGTATCCATCCCATTTCTTATAGAAATGATAGTATTTCTATTTTATTAAATCTAATAACTTGGAAATATATATATGTGTGTGTGTATGTATATATATATATATATGTATGTATGTATGTATATATATATACACATGTTGTTGTTGTTATTTTGTTATTTGCCATCGAGTCGGCCCTGACTCATAGCGACCCCTCCTTGGGTTTCCGAGACAGTGTCACTACGGAAGTAGGAATGCCCAACCTTCCTTCTGAGGAGTGGCTGGTGGGTTTGAACCGCCAGCCTTCTGGTTAGCAGTCAAGTGCCTTAGGCACTATGCTACCACAGGTCCTATATATACACATACATATATATATATAATTTTTTTGTCAATATTATTTTTGTAATTTTGTTGAAAGTTTTTTTTTTTTTTTTTTTTAGTATATCAAGAATCCTTTTGCTCTTTACTCTAGTAAAAGAAATTAGAATTCCATGCACTATAAATTTCAGGTTGTCAGATTTTTTTCCCCTAAATTAATACCCCCCAGAAAAGAGGGGATTTTCTTGTATTCTAGTCATTAAATCTCTTCACCAGAAAGTGTACATTTTGAACCACAGAATAGTTGAGGCAAATCTGTTACTTGCTGTATTCTGACTTAGTCATCAGTATATATCCTAGAAGTACCAATTGTTTTTCAAGCACAGAGAGTAGTTGAATATTTCCATTTCCCACTACAATAATATGACATCTGCATATTTATCAAAAATGTATTTTGTGTCTGTCTTAAAATGT